ATACTTTAATATAATTAATTATTTTTCATTATTACAAACAAATGGTCAATATTTTTTTATATTTTTTAAATAAAGATTGTGCATTATCGATTCAAGACATTATATTAAAATATTGATTAATACTAGTTGAAAAATATTTTCTAATTAAATATCTAATAAATAACAAAGTAACACTATTTTAAAAATATCTTTCCTTTCATTTACTATTTTTTTTTTAATAAATAGTTTCTTATATCTTATTTATAACGATACCCCAATATATTGACCAATAGAAAATTTATTCCAACGAAGGAAGAAGATATATTCACGCAAGATTAGCACGTGTGCATTAAACCATTCGCATTTCCAACTGAATAACTCGACCTATCCTTCCCATGATCGTAAATCCCGCGTCGAATGTCGCAGAATGCAAAACTTGCATTCACGTTAGAATCATCTACGAGAGTAACAACACCACCATAACGTCTTATCTTCTTAACTGACGAACACAGACTACCATCATCTTGAATTTTTCTTCGTATCGAGATTCGTGTCCTATACTTTGCTAATAATATTACTATATCTTATCTATCAAATTACGTAACTATTATAATACAACGTTACTGGGCTTTTTTTCTTTTTTTTCTCCTTCTATCCCCCCCCCCTATACCCCAATGCATAATTTCATCATTCGTTAGAGAGATTATATCTTTTAATTAAATCTATAGATTTATACACACTAGAAATTCTTTTTACAAATTTCTAATAAAAACAAAATATATTTTTTTATTTGTTTAACTGTTATCTTTAAATTGTAACACATAAATTAGAAAATTAAATTTAATATATATATGTTATAATATTAAATTACTATCCCTAGAATTTTATTTATGTTAAAAAACAAAAAATTTTTGAAAAAAAGATTAATTAGAAATATAAAATCTATAGACAAACATATTTGGTTTGGATATACAAATTAATTAAATGATTTTATTTATTTATTTTTTATTTCTTTAACTGTTATCTTTAAATTGTAACACATAAATTGGAAAAT